ACAGTAGAGGGAAGATGACTAGATCAACACCACCCACAAACAGTAGAGGGAAGATGACTAGATCAACACCACCCACAAACAGTAGAGGGAAGATGACTAGACTAACACCACCCACAAACAGAAGAGGGAAGATGACTAGATTAACACCACCCACAAACAGAAGACGGAACCACCCACCGCTAACTCTTGGGCTATACTTTAACAACGAATAGTTAGATTGACCGTCACATCATATCCCCATGCTTGGTGAAGGGATTCGAACTATTGACCCGTTAATTGCAAGTCGAGTTCCCTAACTACCTGGACCACTAACCTGGAAGAAAGATCCTAACTACCAGGACCACTAACCTGGAAGAAAGATCCTAACTACCAGGACCACTAACCTGGAAGAAAGATCCTAACTACCAGGACCACTAACCTGGAAGAAAGATCCTAACTACCAGGACCACTAACCTGGAAGAAAGATCCTAACTACCAGGACCACTAACCTGGAAGAAAGATCCTAACTACCAGGACCACTAACTTGGAAGAAAGATAAACACTTCGTATTATATTGAAATACATTTACTGATATGAACGAACAGAGTAAATCGACAAATTGTTTTTAGCAGGAGGGTGAAGATAAAATTGAAACCCCCGTCCCCTAAACGAACGACAGATTATCGTAAGTTTCCAAACGTACAGAGTATACTGAAAGAAGAACTTCCCCCCCCCCAATACGAACAGTGCATGCAGCCGAGAGCCAAATATAATTAGGTTTTTTTTTGTTAAATTTTAAATATAAACAAGGTGAGAGAGAAACATACAAAAAGGTCACATGCTTAGGGAGGCCAATTATAGAAACCTTTTAAAAGTGGTTCCTATGTAACCTCTACAGCTTTGTCTGCTACCTTGGATCACTTAAGAGCTTAAAAGATTTACAGAAAAATAAGTCAAAAAAAGTATCTACAACCTTAACGTATGGCTAGCTTATGTTACAACTTTATAGTCGTCATGTGAGCCCCCAAACCCGTGGTTAAGTTGGAAGTCCGAGGACTTATAAACGCTCTAAATTGGATTCAGTGACTCGGATATCATAGTCTGGCCTTTTATCTACTCTGTACAATACACTACACCTAGGGATAATTATCCGAAAGAACGAGAGAAGTTATTAGGTTTAGCGTATATAGTCTTAGTTATTGACCTTGAAGTTTCAAGCAGCTAATTCCCAGACGATTTATTTTTCTGTCATTAATTGCAAAGATGTACAGTATGCTATATATGTGCTCTGACCACCTCGGGTATCAAAACTTCTCTGGTCTGTATATTATCCACAGGAAAACTGGAAGTTCGTGAATTCTGAACCATAGTCTTCTTTCGGTGTCAAATTGTCGTTTAAAATTAGGACTAGTTGCGTGTTTGTTGTCACGGCTATGTGTAACATTTATTTACAAGTTTATTTTCATTTGACATATCCTGAAATATGGCTTAAGCCTGAAGTGTCAGAATAAAGTCACGACATCTCTGGTTTCCAATTACTTTCAACAATATGTCACTTCAAATGATGACCATAAAGCCAGAGGTCATGTTTGAGCTTGTTGAGGGATACATAATTCCCCAAATATAGTTTTACTCACTTTTGTAATATCACACTATAATGTGAGGTACGAATCAAGCTGGTGAGGCCCGACCAAGTGAGATAACTAGACTACATGACCTATTAAGGGAAACTGTAATGATGTTAAAAAGTTAAGCCTAAAATTACACTCCGTGAAGTGTGAACAACAGATCTGGTAAAATAACAAAAGATAAATAGTGTGAGTGGTAAATAATAGTATTGGGGAGCCTATGTAAACTCAAAAAGTCCCCCACTCCAAGAAAGAAAAAACAAAACAACATGAACTTTGAGCTAATGAATGGTTTTGTAAATCTTTCAATACATTCCATGCTACAACAATTTGTTTCGTTAAGGGCAAGATGACGAAACTCTCGAACTATTTCTACTCTCGTTAGCATACTCTTATTTGTAACAAGTTAACCTTTCGGTTTCAGTGCAACCTTTGATGCACTAAACATAGGATATAAAACGTAAAGTTTATAAACGAAAGATATAACAATACTTTTTTGGATACACTGCAGAGATCACCGTGGATATGGCACTCCCCCAATCTCCACCTTGAACGTAAAATTTAGGGAAACCCAGCCTGTCCATCAACTTAACAAACACTCGTGCTGCGTCTGCCATGGAAAATCCTAAATACACAAAAATAAAAATAATTATACTATTACATATTATACTTGAGTTTGTTTGCAGAGGATACTACTATTAAATATTTACAGATCAGAAAATGAATTGACATCTCCCTCTGCAGGTAATGTGTTGAATTAACACGCAGCTCGTGGTAGTCTCGACATCTCCCTCTGCAGGTAATGTGTTGAATTAACACGCAGCTCGTGGTAGTCTCGACATCTCCCTCTGCAGGTAATGTGTGTTGAATTAACATACAGGTCGAATGTGTTGAATTAACACGCAGCTCGTGGTAGTCTCGACATCTCCCTCTGCAGGTAATGTGTTGAATTAACACGCAACTCGTGATAGTCTCTACATTTCCCTCTGCCGGTAATGTGTGTTGAATTAACACGCAGCTCGTGGTAGTCTCGACATCTCCCTCTGCCGGTAATGTGTGTTGAATTAACAAGCAACACTTATAGAACGCGTTTTTCGTGCAATAGGACACGAACCATGAAACCGTCGGATTAACATTTCGGGTCACACTTACTACATGGCCACGCTCGTACTGTAACATTTATGAACATCAGTGTTTCATCAGGTTAACGGGAATCGTTTGGTGAAGGGTAACAAACATGACGCTCAAGCAGACTGAACATGCGCAAAAACAGCGTCACTATTACGTAATAATAAAAAAACTAAACAAAAGTAGAAAAAAATCTGCGCCATCTAAATGATAAACAATGCGAAACCATATATAGGAAGAACATCATTATTACGTCACAATAACAAAACCAAAACTTAACTCATTCAAATATGAGAAAAGTCGAGAAAAAAAAAAGAGAAAAATAAGCAATTTTTTGTGTTATCCGCAAATAAAAGTTTCGCTTTTTAATTTAACAAACTTTTTCCTTAAATAGATTTTTTAATTGAAAGCAACATAATCAAGGAGAACACTAGGTGGAGTTGCTCCTACAGAATTTATTCATTCCAAATTCTCGTCTTTTTTTTTTCATTTATAGATATAAGTATAATAATTACATACCACACCTTATTCAAAACGTTCACAATTATGACATTTTTTAAACACAGGTGACCACTCACCTGGTTGATGTGGAGCTTCAGAATAACCATATCCTGGTATCGAAGGGCAAATCACTTCAAACACGAAGTCTCTATCCCCACTCGGGGTGACAAGAAGTGGTAGTATCTTGTAAAATTCGACAACAGATCCCGGCCAGCCGTGAATTAGCATTAGCGGGAGTACCTTCATCTAAAGAAAAAAAACAAACTACATTACCCTAATAAAGTACGATAAAGCAAGCGGGAGTATCTCCATGTTAGGCCTAGCATAATCTAAAGGTTAGGGCGTTCGATTCGCAATGTAAGGGTCGCAGGATCGAAACCCGTTACCAAAAATGTTAGCCCATTTAGCCATGGGATCGTTATAATATTTCAGTCAATCCCGCTATTTGTTAGTTAAGAGTAACCCAAGAGTTGGTAGCGGATGGTGTTGACCAGCTGCCTTCCCTCTGGTCTATCACTTCAAGACCAGGGACGGCTTGCGTAGAATACGAGATTTAATAGATAAACCATCTAAACAAAAATGTTTGTGTTATAGCAAAACCACATTGAGTTATCTGCTCTGTCCACAGCGAGGATCGAACCCCGGATTATATCGTTGTAGACTTCTCGCTGTCCCACTGGGGGACTAAACAACGATAGAAATGTATGGAATACCTAAAGACAGAGAATGATCAATAATCAGTGTATCATAACTTCTTTGACTCGCAAGTGAGAAGAATTTAAAAAAGTGTGGATTCTTTTCGCTCAGGCATGGAGGTCAATTTATATATATATATATAATTGTACTGGAACAGTTTAATTAATAACGGCAACTATATATTTTTCAGTTAAACGTCTTCCAGTTTCCCCCCAGTGGCACAGCTATAAATGCTAGAATCCGGGTTTCGATACCCGTGGTGGGCAGAGCACAGATAGCCCATCGTGTAGCTTTGTGCATAACTATAAATAAACAAACAAGTATTTTTCAACTGAACGGGACGACCTTAAATGCTAGAAAAAAATTTTTAGCTCACCTTCTGTTCATTACGTTTCACTGATAAAAATGTTTTGTGAATTTTAAGTTGGGCCTTTTTCTGTTTTCGTGACTTTCACACTCCAGAAAGTTGAAAGGAAATTATAACGGGTCTTCGCGAATTCAACTTTCTATGGCCTCATATTTTTGTAATCATTACAAGTTCTTCCCTAGCGTTTCTTATATCAGATATTTTGATACCTTATGTGGCATATCGCTTAACTATCAGGTCAGTCACAGCTCTCCTTAATTTACAACTGATAGCCACTGGAAGGACAACCAATCAAGCAGCAACCGCCGGCTACACACTTAACGAATAAAAGGGACTGACTGTCACGATTACAACACTCCACAGTTGAAAATGTGGATCAAACTTTGGACCTTTCGATCCGCAGGCCTGACCGGCCAACCAAAATTTCAACCTCAAATGTTTAGCAGTGAAAAATATTTCTTACGAATTTTTTTAAATTATAATTATTTATATTTCCTTAACTCGGTCTTCACATTTATTTGTTTCGAAAATTATCACAAGGCTACACAGCCGTCCATATCTTGGAGCTGATAAACGAGAACAGTGGTCCTTAAAGTGGTCAGTAGATAGGTTGTACAAGTTGAGAAATGAAGCGGTAGTATAGTGTATCGATCCCACTGTGGATCGTCGAGACAAAAAATCTGGTGGTCCAAGAATAAAAAAAAGTTTGAAAACCATACGACTAGAAGAAAAAACGTAGTCAAAATCACCCAATGCTCAATTTTAGGCTACTCTTGTCCGACCGAAAATAGTCCATATCACCCAATGCCCAATTTTAGGCTACTCTTGTCCGACCGAAAATAGTCAAAATCACCCAATGCCCAATTTTAGGCTACTCTTGTCCGACCGAAAATAGTCAAAATCACCCAATGCCCAATTTTAGGCTACTCTTGTCCGACC